GAATAATTTTAATCTTTGCATATGTGTGTGTTTAGTGAATGATAATAAAGTTATACATTAATAAAATAAAAGTATTTCTATAGGAAAACACAGGGAAATAAATAAAGGTGATAAATACTATCACTTTGTGTCAGGTCAGGGTTCGCTACTAAATAAGTGCCACTGACTCAAGGGAAATTTTTGGTTTTGGGGGATTTTAGAACTTTGGAGTTGTGGCTAAGGGACTGTAATCAGAATCCCTGAAGTCTTAAGAGCACAGAACTGGTAAAAGCCACAGTGATCAAAGAAACAGTCAATTGAAAATAATATAATTTGGAAGCTCAGAAGGTCATAGATCATCAGGCAAAATTAATTTAAACAAGTTCTAAATGCAGTCTGCTCACATTTTAAATTTGAGAACCAATTTGTAACATGGAAATTTCTTTTTTCTTTCTTTTTTTTTTGGCACCAGGGATCAAACTTGGGTCCTTGCTCTTGCACAGCAGGTGGTGAAACCACTGAGCTAAATCCCTGGCCCCTACATGGAAATTTCTAACACATAATTTATTGCACTGATTTAATTAGTTTCAATACTAAACTTAGTACCTCATACCCAGAAAGTAACATTTTTTTCAACCATACATATTATATTTGTAAAAATTGTTGAGTTTGATCCCCAGTACCAAAAAAAAAAAAAAATGGCTAGGGAACGGGACTGTAGCTCTGTGGTAGAAAACTTCCCTGGCATGCACAAGGCTGTGGGTTCAATTCCCAGACTCCAAAAACAAAAACAAAAAAATCAAACAAGTAATGACCATATAAAAGATCCTAAAGAAATCCTCATTTAATTCTGAAAAATTGGGCCTAGGATTTAGCTCAGTGGTTTCGCCGCTTGCTGTGCAAGCACAAGGAGCTGAGTTCAATCCCCGGTAGCAAAAAACAAAAGAAAACAAAAAAAAGTCATGTTTGTTTAAAAAAAAAAAAAAATTCTGAAAAATAACTTGACCAAGACAACCTCCCTGGAAGGTAATGGGTTGGGATCCTAATCTGCGACTCCACCTCTTTATTTTTCCCGATAATTTAATATTCACCGAGGAGTAAATAGTAATTTACTTCCAGGTATTGATCAGAGAGATAATAAGTACTTTAATTTGGTGTTAAAGACTACAACTGGCTTGATGCCTAGAGCAGTGTCAATATCCAGTAAAAGTTAGGTTGATGAAGGAGAAAGTGAATGCATGACCCCAAAAAGACCCGCCATAGAACTTTGTATTTGACGTGCATTAACTCAAAGGCACACTTTTCTAGAATGTGCGCAAGACAAGGTTGGTGAAGACAGCTGTTTCTCTACAAAGAAAGCAAGGTGGCCAAACAGCCATTAGAAGCCATTAGAGGAAGCATTAAGAGAAGGATGTACGTGCTACCAAATTGCTTTAAAACTTCCCCAGGGTGGCAGGGATCAACAGGAGACAGAGTCTAGAGAGCGTTCATGGTCTTCGCTTATTCTCCCTCAAAACTTTTTAAGCTTCCCCTATGGTGACCAGGCCCAGAGTAATGCACATTTAATTCAGCTTCTAATGCAGGGAAATCAATAGCGCTGCACAACAGACAGTTTATTACGCATCATCTGAAGTTTAACACATAAATAATATACACAAACCACAGCACTTAAGAGTTCAATTTAGGGGCTCATCTTTTCCCACAAATCAAAGTATTTTTTACATCTTATTAAATATTTCACATGATAAAATAGTTTAAGGATTTTATTTTTAAATCTGGACTGAAATTGCACGGAAAATTTCTTTTAAAGTAACAGTGATGATCTTTGTTTTGATGCTTGCATTGTATAAATTGTTCTTACATCTTGCCTTAATTTGATCTTCCTTCTCAAATTCTTGTGGATTAGGTAGGATAAGTAAATCCATTTAACAGACAAGGAAACCGAAAGATGAGAAGAGCCAGACAACAAGCACTGGGAGACTCAGACTTGGGGTCTGAAATGTTATCAGTCCCCAGAGGGACCTGGTTCTATTCAGAGCTGATGAGGACAGAGAGATCATAGCAGTATGACCCTAAATTGTGCCCACCACTGGAATTCAGACATGTCTAGACTTGGTAAGTTAGGTTCACCAGAAGTCTTTATGTTTCATTAGTTTGTTTTGTAGGCTTTTGGAGACCAAGGATAGAGACAGTTCACACCCCTCAATTCATGGCATCACAACATCAAGGAACTGCTCTTATTTCATGCAATTATATATTTTCCTTTTATACCCCACCCACACTCTATTTACATAAGGTTTAAAACAGGCAAAGCAAATCCCTAGTAATCAGGGTGGGGGACAGTAGGACAGTTCTGATACTATGTAGCTTTTCATGTGGGTCCCATGTAGGGTCCTTCCTTAGCAAAAATTCATTGTGTTGTACCCTTAGGGAGGGTATAGCTTTCTTATGTATGTTACACTTCATTAAAAAGTTTTACTTTAAAAAATCCTACTGGAGAGCTGGGCGTGGTGGTGCGTACCTAAAGTCCTAGCTACTCCAGAGGCTGAATCAGGAGGGTCACTTGAGTCCAGGAGTTTGAGGTCAGCCTGGGTAACATAGACACCCTGCCCCTCCATCTCTAAACAACAACAAAAAAACTTCTTTTGAATTTTGGAATGGAATTGTACAGGTTTGTGGATTAATTTAGAGAGGTCCCCTGTTTCAGAATTAAATCATCTGGGACTAGGAGTAGAGCTCAGTGGTAGAGCACTTGCCTAACATGAATGCAAACCAAACAAACAAAAAGAATTAAGTAATTTTACCCACTAGCATATTGCTAAACCTTTAAGAGAGATATTAGTTGTGAGGGATAGTGGTCTGTGATTATTTTTAATTTTTTCAGAATTTTTTTTCTTGCAATGTGCTTAGATTTAAGTAATAGGATAATGCTGGCCTCACAGAATGAATTAAGGAATGTTAACTTCTTTTCAATTTGCTGAAATGTTTATGCAGAATTGGAGTTATTTCTTCTTTAAATATGGTGGAGTTCACCCATGACTTTACCTGGCTCTGAAGTTGTGCGTGTGTGTGTGTGTGTGTGTGTGTGTGTGTGTGAAGGATTTTTAATTTCAAATTCAGTTTCTTTAGTAAAAATAGGTCTATTTAGGTTATATTTTTTCTTGAGTGAACTTTGATCATTTGTGTCTTTCAAGAAATTTACCCATTTCATCTGAATTGGCATGTGTATTGGCATTAAGTAGCTCATAGGATTCTTTCATCATCCCCATATATCTGTGAACCTGTAGATATGCCAGCTTTCATTCCTGACATTGCTGATTCGTGTCACCCCTTCTTCTCTGACTGGTGTGCTTTGGAAATGTATCGATTTGCTCAGAGAACCACCTTTTACTTTCACTTTTTTTTTTTTTTTTTGGTACCAGGGATCAAACTCTGGACCTTGTGCTTTTGAGACAGGCAGTGGAGCCACTGAGCTAAATCTCTGGCCTTTTTTTGCTTTTTTAGAAAAGATCTTGCTATGTAGCCCAGGCTGGCCTCGAACTTACAGCAATCCTCCTGCTTCAGCCTCCCGAGTGCTGGGATTACAAGTGTGTGACACCATGCCTAACACACTGATTTTTTTTTTCTATTGTTTTTCTGTTTTCTAGTTTATTGATTCCCACTTTAGTTTTTAGTACTTCATTTCTCATGATCACTTTGGGTCTTATTTGCTCTTATTTTTCAAGAATCTTAATGTAGAGGCTGAGAACACTGATAAGAGACAAATAGGTGAAAAGACTGCAGCAGAATGCAGAAATGGATCTATACATCTGTGAATAAGTGATTTTTTTTTCAGTCTTGGAGATTAAACCCAGAGCCTTTGCACTGGCATACATCACAGCCCTCTTTTTAAATTTTTTAATTTTGAGATATGGTCTCACAAAGTTACCCAGGCTGGATTCAAACTTGGGATCCTCCTGCTTCAGCTTCCCAGAGTGTTGTTATTACAGTGTGTGCCATCACATCAGGCCAAACAATTAATTTTTAGCAAAAGTGAAAAAATAATTGAGTGGTGATAGTCTTTTCAACAAATGGTACTGGAACAATTTGATATCCATATGCCAACAAAATGGATTTGGATGCATATCCTACAACGTATACAAAATTAAATCAAATGTGTCATAAACCTAAATATAAAACTTAAAACACCAAAATTTTCTAGAAGAAACATAGAGCAATCTTTACAACTTTGTATTAGGTAAAATTTGTTAGCTATACAAAAGCACAATCCATAAAAGAATTGATAAATGAGACGTTAGCAAAATTAAGAATTTCTGCCTTTTGAAAGAACTTGTTCAGAGAATAAAAACTGGAGAAAATATGGGTGAATTATGTATTTAATAAGGGACTTGTGTCCAGAATGTATTCTGAACACACAAAACTCAATAAAAATCTTTTTTTTTTTTTTGTACCAGGGATCAAACTCAGGTCCTTGCGCTTGCAAGGCAGGTGGC